GTGAGAGTTTCGTGGATTTATATTCACAGGTGGAATGAACAGAACGTGAGTCCAGTTGTACGAATATTTTAAAGAGCGGATTTTGGGGTAAAAGAGCCTGAAAATCGCAGAATCAACGCTTTAGGCAATTTTTAGGAAAAATTAATTTTACGCAACTTCTGGTTTTCTTTAAGATGTACGTTTATATTATTATTTTACATAATCAATCTTTTCTTAAAAACTACTGGCCCCGCCCACCCACCCTCTCTTTTCATTGGGGGTATCTCATTTGCCAAAATCAGTCTTTTCTTAGCAGTAGCTGCTAATTATGTTTGAGATGCTTTTGTTGATGATGCATTTCGTCACTGTGGGGTCAAATTCCATAATAACCTAAAATGTTTAATTCAGTTTAGAATTACACAACAAAATTATGAATAAAATAAAGAAACCTTTTTTATATCGCCAAAATGATCGCAATAATACATATATTGCTGCTTCAATCTCTGAACCTTATATCGTCAGAACAGGTTCTGGAGGCAATGGACAACCCGGCAAGGCAAATGCTTTCTTTACGTTGGAAATTAAACCATCGTTCCATTTTAATATTGATTTCGGAGAACTTTAGCTACTAAACTTACGGCGTAAAACCAAAACTGAATTAAGTAAGTTAGGATAAAATATTTCCAGATGTTTGCCACATTTAACCATGAATCCAGCGTCGTCCGTTAGTAGCAGTTTTAGTTTTTCGTATTTAATTCGCTTTGGTCATAATAAATCTATGTTGTCGTTTTTGAATTAACATTATCATTTCAGAAATTGGGTCACAGACCCAATTTAAGTTCGGCTTACATAAGATTCCTTACCTTACCACATATCAAAGTTGCAAATTTGCCCTAATTATGCAACAATGTTAAGTCGGATTTATAAACTTGCTGTTGACGTTTAAGTTCCGGTTGCAGTTGCTGTTCCCACTGACGTTACTTTTAGAGGTGAAAATTGTTAGTTATAAACTCCGTTGCCAAGTTGCCGTTGATAGTAAATTGGATGTTCAATTTTTAGACATGTGTTTCTTGTTGTCGATAAAAGTCTACACATATTAAGAAAAAAAAAGGCAAAATGTAGCCCCGCCCACCCACCCTATTTCGATTGTGATGATTTCTTTCTGCGTCGTGAGTCAAGGGGGCGGAGCTTAACTGCAAAATCTTTATTCCTCTACGAGAAATTAAAAACATGTTTTTGAGTATCGCGTTGTTCAAAGAATAGTATGTATATTTAGAAAAATAAAGTCAAAGATTAGGTACCACCCATACCCGCCCCGATCTCAATTCTCAATCGTGACAAAATTTTCATTAGATTTGAGATCGAGGGGCGGGGCGTAATTGCAAGATCCATATTTGTCTAGAAGAATTTACCATTTTAAAGATGTTTTAAGTTCCTTGTTCGGAATTTAATTGCAAAATCCTTTTTATTTCTCTACAAGAAATTACCATGTAAGACATATTTAAGTGTATCGTGTTATTCAAAGAATACTATGTATTTAAATAGTAATGCAGTTTTCATTCGTTGGCAGACCTAAGGGCGGAGTCTAATTGCAAAATCCGTACCGTTTTAAACGTATTTTAAGTTTCTAATAATAAAAAAATCATCACAATTGAGATGGGGTGGGTGGGCGGGGTTTATATTTTCTCTATTACATACACATGTACATAGTATTCTTTGAGCAACACGAGACTCAAAAACATGTTTTAAATTTCTTGTAAAGAACTAAGTATTTTGCAGTTAAACTCCGCCCCCTTGATTCACGACGAATAAAACAATCGTCACAATTGAGATAGGGCGGGTGGGCGGGCTTACATTATGACTTTTGTTTTAATATATGTAGACTTCTTTTCACAACATGAAACTTAAAACATGTAAGCAATGGAAACTTTGTATAAGGAAAAATTTTGCAATTAGTCTTCGCCCCATAATGGCAAAATCCATATTTCCTTGCAAAAATGTACCATTTTAACCATGATCTACGTTTCTTGTTGTGAAAAGACGGCTATATATATTAAGAAACAAAAAGCCAAAATATAAGCCCCGCCCACCCGCCCTGTCTCTATCTGATGATTTTTTTTTATTCGTCGTAAGCCGAGGGGCGGAGCTTAATTGGAAAATCTTTATTTTTCTAGGAGAAATTACCATCTGAAATGTGTTCTTAAGTAATCGTGGTATACAGAGAAAAGTGAATGTGTAATTAAAAGAAAAAAAAAAAAACAAAATAGAAGCCATACCCATCCACCGCGATCTCAATCGTGATGAATTTTTCATTTGTTGTCAGATCGAGGGGCGGAGCGTAATTGCAAAATCGATATTTCCCTATACAAAGTTACCATTTTAAACATGTCTTAAGTTTCTTGTTGCGGAAAGATTAAGAAAAATAGGCAAAATGTAGCCCCGCCCACCCGCCCTATTTCGATTATTATGATTTTTTATTTTTCATTCGTTGTGGGTCCGAGGGGCGGAGCCTAATTGCTAATTCCATTCTTTCCTACAAAAGTTTACCATTCTAAACATATTTTACCTTTCTTGTTCTGATGTTAAAAAAATATATAAAACCACAACATTGACAAACCGAAAAATTGAAAAAATAAATAAAAATAAATTCCGAAATGAAAAATCGCAAAATCTACAAATTAAAACAAATTAAATTTTCAATTTTTCGCGTTTTCCACTGATTTTTCAACTTTTCGATGTTTCGATTTGTCGATTTTTTGATTTCTTCGATTTTTCTTTTGATTTCTTAATTTTTCGACTTGGACCAAATTAAATTTTTGGCTGCGATTTTTTAACTTTCCGTTTGATTTTTCGACTTTGCAATGTTTCGACTTTACGATTTTTTCGACTTTCCGTTTTCTCGACTTTGTTATTCCTGGACCTTTCGACTTTTTGATTAAACTAAATTTACGATTGTTCGACTTTCCACTGATTTTTCCACTTCGACGTTTCGATTTTACGATTTCTTCGACTTTCCGATTGAATTCTCTATTTTTCAATGTTTCCATTTTTCGATTTTTAATTTTTCAATTTTTCAATCAGTCTTATCTTGGCAAGTCCTAGCCACGGCCACCGGCCCTTTATTTTCCTAGTGAGTAAGTCATCTGCCAAAATCAGTCTTATTTTGGCAAGTACTAGCCCCGCCCACCCGCCTTTTATTTTTTTAAAGAGTAGGTCATCTGCCAAAGTCAGTCTTATCTTGGCAAGTACTAGCCCGCCCTTTATTTTCTTAGAGGGTATGCCATTTGACGTACCCTAAACTGATTTTGGCAAATGACCTACTCTCTAACAAAATAACGGATGGGTGGGCGGGGCTAGTTCTTACTAAGATAAAACTGAAATTGCCAAATGGCATATCTTCGAAGAAAATAACGGGTGGGTGGGCGGGGCCAATACCTGTCAAGATAAGACTAATTTTGCCATATGCCAAATGATATACCCTCTACTCTTTATTTTCTAAGAAAGTATGTTGTTTGACAATATTGCTGATATCTTGACAAGTATTGACCCCGCCCACCCACCCTTGTTTTCCTTGAGAGTAGGTCATTTGCTAAAGTCAGTCTTATTTTGACAAGTACTATATCAAGAAAAAAAAGAGCAAAATGTAAGCTCTTTTAGTTATAATAACTAATCTGTTTTTGAGACGAATAGCAATAAATCTTGTTGACTTAAACGTCGAGAACTATCTTCAACAATGCATAAGTACTGACAGAAAGCCACAGTGTAGAAAGTGATGGCAGCTATTGAAAATATGAGGGTTTCGGTGAACAGGTGACTAAATGGCTTAATATTAGTGGACCTTACCATCTCTATCAAAATTTCATTTTCGTGGAATTAGTGCTGTCAACCACAAAAATGTCTCCCCGACTTTAGAGGATTTTCCTTCAAGTTGGCAGCACTGCACACTACCGCAATTTGATTGGTTGAAAACCCAACGTCAACGGCAACGTAACGGCGAAAGTTTTTAAATCGATTGGAGAAAAATTGATTTGTTTTTAATAACTTAATAACAAAATTATCTAACGACTCAGTGATTATACTTACAATTTTTCCACAGGCTTTACAGAACAATTCGCCATTTTCTATTTTGACTTTGGGCATTTTTAAAAATGGTAAAACACTAAATTAAAACACTTTTACACTTTTGAATATCATTTTAGGAAAACCCAACACGAACGAATTGATACAGGAAGAGAACTCGAAAATAAAGTTGTAGGAGGGCTTGGTGTATGTAACGCATCAAAGCTCTTCCTAGAAAAACAAGAGATAATTTGAGTCTGGTTCTGTATGTTCTATATGTGCAATAAAGTTTGTTCTTTGATGCTTTACGCAGAAAAATAGATTTTTAGTACTATAGTTTTACCTGTAATGTTTTCTGGTTGTCACTAAACTCGTTCAAAGCGCCATTCGGGGTAGACGTGCGACCGGAAAGATATTGTGTTTTGAGGGAAGTTTTCGCTTCCAAACTGGCTACTACGAACTGATAATTGCAGGTTAGGGGGCATTAGAGCCTAGATCGTAAATGATAAGTACCACGTAGGGCCGCGGAGGCCCGATCAGGCCGAAGATAAGCCTGACACACTTTTCAAGAATGAGCCACAATTTCGTAAATTATTCATCGATAGCCCCTACCCCCGAAATAACCAAACAATCACTTTGCATAAAACCCGGTGAGTCCGTGATCGCCGCCCCTGCGAAATCCTGAGCGATATTTACCTACCTGTTCCGTGAATCGCAGGTCAGCATGACTATTTCATCAGAAAAGGGGCAAAGCGCCGCTCGTAAAGAAGCAAAGACAGCTTTTTTTCATGTTGTGTTTGCATTTAAATGTACGTTTTGCGCAAATGTTTGGTAATAATTTATTAGACGACGGCACGTTCGATTTAACAGTGGATGGCTCTTGTGCATGCTTGATGCGCCGTTTACACGGCTCGAGGACGAATCGAGGACGGTTTTGATTCAGCTTGGTTTTTTTGTTGCAGATCCTGAACTCGCCGCCGTGGATGGGGTAAGTTTAATTAAAAACGATGGGGCGTAATTGATCGGCGGCGGCGTTGGAGAAAAATTCGACAAATATAGGGGATTTATTGGGGCTAGGAGCGCCCTCAGAGTGGGTAGTTTCTCTTCGCATCCACTTACATCGTTTTGCTCATTTCTAGTCATCTTTCACTGTCATGTGTACGGAAGGTGTATTTATCTGCGTCGGGGTATTGATTAGTGGGTAATTTATACAGGGTGGGCGAACCGAAATGACAACGAAACAGACGCTGCGAAATTTCTAGCTGTCTCGGACTTTCACAGCTCGCAGGCCACGATAGTACACGTTTTTTGAACAAAAATTGACACAGACGACAGACAGACAGACACCACGTAACGCAAAATCGTTAATAATTCCACCATATTCTAGCAAACTTTTAACTAAATAAACGCTCTGCCTAAAAAATCGTTTAGTGCGTCAATTTTGACTAAAAACGCGTGTAATCCATCAACATGGAAGCGTGTTTGGGCGTAGTTTCCAGCGGCAAGTTTCTGCTGTTTAATGTGAGTTTTTTGTGTCGGCCTCAGTTTTGAGTAGTCCATATGACGTTCCTTTTAACATTCATGACCTGAACTATTGATTTAGTAACCCTCTAACTAACTTCTGACCTTTCTGTTTAGCAGCCGCAGCCGCGTCCAGCCCTCCCAGCAAAAAATATCCGTGTCAAAGAACAAAATCGTCCCGGCATTGGGGCAAGATTTTTGCGGAGGTTCGTCTGCAGCGTCGGGTAATTTACGTAGCACGCAGTAACAGGGGTTCGAGGATAAATAGACGCTCAGTCAGAAGCGGAAATGAAGTAATCTCGAAACAATTGCGTTTCGCCTACGCAAGGGTCACTAAATATGATGTAGATGAGCGTCTGTATTTGTTCGACACGGCCGGGGTCCCGATAAAATCTCCGTTGTCTCGATTTTTCCGGCGTCAGGTTTTTCGGCGACGAATTTGTTTAGTTGATAATTTTCAGTTCGTTTAAGGCTCGGAGACATCCCACTTGACTTGATTCCGCTATAAGGGCGGCATTGTGTCGTACTACGTGCTTTTGACGTCACGGTGACAAAGTGCCTCCGCACAGCTACAAGTGATGCTTCCTGGAGGAGCGACGAAGAAAAATAACACTCGTGAGGGAAATAATATGCGCTGATTTATTCGCTTTGCTCTTTGTTCGCTCTGTCATTAGCTAATGCCCCAATCTAGATATATGGCGCGGAGCGATTATTACTAATACACATGACTGTTAGCCGAGGGTATTATGTATTAAATTGCTTTCATCTGTATCTAAAGGGTGGCTCAATTAAAAGGGAATTATTGTGGGCGGGGTGAGTGACTGGGGAAATTACCTGAGGAGGAGGATTCGAAAATTGGTTACAAAGGAGATTAATTAACAACAATTACGCCTTTATTTCTATCATTTCATTGCATCAGTAATCACTAACACGTGAACAACACGTCACTAAACAGCCTTGAGTAACAGTTAGTATCCAAAGGTTTTTGTCATGTCGTCGTTCTAGTGACCAAATAAATGTAAATACATAAATTCGTTCCTTACTACGTCCCTCTTCACTTTCAGTTATTATTATTATTATATTAGGCTGATTCACAAACCACAAGTACAATATTATTTTATAAATTTTAAGTAGCATTTACCAGCAAAATTTTTAGGGAACGTCATCACATCATTGATGGGGATGATTAGACAAAAATATCCCCACAATTTGACAACAATTAGTCCAGTAGTTTCGGAGTTCTCTGTCTAATAAATATTGACATAGGCGACCGACAAAAAGCAAAAGACTTACCTATATTTTCATACTCTACGGATCATGAAACGTCCATAAAACATGAAATTAACCGTTCGCCCGATGAATCCTACTCGTATTACAATATTTTCTTAGCTTACGCTCTAAACTAGAAAAGTAGCTGAATACAGCAATGGAAACGCCATAATCAAATTTCAGGATCGATTTAAAAAAGCTTGAGATCTGTGCTTGACGTTAAAGGGATAGTCCTTCTAATGAACAGAAGAAAAAGTTCTAGAAGAATTCTATTTTCAAAGTAGATTGAAACGAGTGAAATTTTCTGTCTAGAAACTAGAAGGAATATAAAAACTTTGATTTTTACCAAAAACTGCACTCAAAAAAAAAACGGTATTTTAAAAATATTCTAGAAACTTTTTTGTCTGCAATGAAATACGTTACAAGAATTTTGGTAGCAGTATGTAGTTCTAGAAGAAATTAGAGACGAGAAAACGTGTAAGAATTTTAAATTCAAAAAGAGAACATTGTTGCAGAGATAATTTAAATAATTTAAGTCAAAACATATTCTAGAATGTAGCAAGATAGAATAAAAAGATAGTCGAGATAAACTTGAGAAGATTTCAAAAGGTTTTTTCAAAATGTGAAAAGGTAAAAGTCTATCGAATTTTTGTCTTCAGTGAGAAAAGTTAGAAGCATTTTGGTAGAAGTACGCAATTCTAGAAGATTTCTATTTAGAGAGGGGTAGACGTGGAATAATTTTAAATTCAAGGAGGGAACGGTGTCGAAGACATAATTTAAATAATTTAAGTCAAAAAATATTCTAGAACGAAGAAATATAAAATAGAAAGTTACTCAAGATAAACTTGAAAACGTTTTAAAGGGTTCTGAAAATGAGAGAAGGTAAAGGAATTTCGAAAATTACATGAATTTTAGGTAGCAGCATCCAATTCTAGAAGAGTTCTACTTCGGAAGAAGTACACATGAAATGATTTTAAATTCAAAGAGGGAACGGTGCGAAGACAATTTAAATAACTAAGTCAAAGATATTCTAGAATGTAGAAATATAGAATAAAAAGTTATTGGAGATAAACTTGAGAAAATTTCAAAACGTTTTTTGAATATGCGAAAAAGTAAAAGTATATAGAATTTTGTGTTCAATGAGAAAACTTAGAAACATTTTGGTAGAAGTACGCAATTCTAGAAGATTTCTATTTAGAGTAGGGTAGACGTGGAATAATTTTAAATTCAAGGAGGGAACGGTGTCGAAGACATAATTTAATTAACTTAAGTCAAAAATATTCTAGAATTTAGAAGAATATAGTAGAAAGTTAGTCAAGAGAAACCTAAGAAAATTTCAAGAGGTTTTCTGAAAATAATAAAAGTTAGAAGAATTTTGCTAGCAGTAGACAATTCTAAAAGATTTCTATTAAAAAGGAAGGAAACTTGGATTACTTCTAAATTTAAGTGGCGAACGATGCTGCAGATTTATTTACTTTATTTGAATCATTTTAGCGAAAGAATATTCTAGAATCTAGAAATTTAGAATAGAAAGTTACTCAAAATAAACTTAAGAATATTTCAAAGGGTTTTAAGAAAATGAGGAAAGGTAAAAAAATTTCGAAATTTGTTTGGCATGAGAAAGGTTAGAAGAATTTTGGTAGAGGTATATAATTCTAGAAGAGTTTTATTTAGAAAGAAGTAGGCGTGCAATAATTTCAAATACAAGGAGGAACAGTGCTGAAGAAATAATTTGAATAATTTAAGTCAAAAAATCTTCTAGAATCTAGAAAGATAGAGTGGAAAGTTAGTTAAGAGAAACTTAATAAAATTTCAAGAGGTTTTCTAAAAATAAGAAAAGTTAGAAGAATTTGCTAGCAGTAGACAATTCTAAAAGATTTCTATTAATAAGGAAGGAAACTTGGATTACTTGTGAACGATGCTGCAGATATACTTAATTTGAATCATCTTAGTGAAAGAATATTCTAGTATATAAAAAATTAGAATAGAAAGTTACTCAAAATAAACTAAGAATATTTGAAAGGGTTTTAAAAAAATGAGGAAACGTAAAAGAATTTCGAAATTTGTCTGGCATGAGAAAAGTTAGCAGTATTTTGGTAGGAGTATGTAATTCTAGAAGAGTTTTATTTAGAAAGAAGTAGACGTGCAATAATTTCAAATTCAAGGAGGAGCAGTGCTGAAGAAATAATTTGAATAATTAAAGTCAAAAAATCTTCTAGAATCTAGAAAGATGGAGTGGAAAGTTCGGCAAGAGAAACTTAAGAAAATTTCAAGAAGTTTTCTGAAAATAATAAAAGTTAGAAGAATTTTGCTAGCAGTAGACAATTCTAAAAGATTTCTATTAAAAAGGAAGGAAACTTGGATTACTTCTAAATTCAAGTAGCGAACGATGCTGCAGATATATTTACTTAATTTGAATCATTTTAGCGAAAGAATATTCTAGAATATAGAAAAATAGAATAGAAAGTTACCCAAAATAAACTTAAGAATATTTCAAAAGGTTTTAAGAAAATGAGAAAAGTTAAAAGAATTTCTAAATTTGTCAGGAATGAGAAAAGTTAGAAATATTTTGATAGAAGTATGTAATTCTAGACGAGTTCTATTTAGAAAGGCGTAGACGTGGAATAATTTTAAATTCGAGGGAATGGTGCTGAAGAAATAATTTGAATAAATTAAGTCAAAGAATATTCTAGTTAAAAGAATTCTGCTAGCAGTAGACAATTATTCTAAAAATTTCTATTAAAAAGGAAGGAAACTTGGATTACTTCTAAATTCAAGGACTGAACGATGCTGCAGATATATTTACTTAATTTGAATCACTTTAGCGAAAGAATATTCTAGAATCTAGAAAAATAGAATAGAAAGTTACTCACAATAAACTTAAGAATATTTCAAACGGTTTTAAGAGAATGAGGAAAGGTAAAAGAATTTCGAAATTTGTCTGACATGAGAAAAGTTAGAAGTATTTTGGTAGAAGTCTGTAATTTTAGAAGAGTTTTATTTAGAAAGAAGTAGACGTGCAATAGTTTCAAATACAAGGAGGAACAGTGCTGAACAATTAATTTGAATAACTTAAGTCAAAAAGTGTTCTAGAATCTAGAAAGATAGAGTGAAAAGTTAGTCAAGAGAAAATTAAGAAAATTTCAAAGGGTTTTCTAAAAATAAGAAAAGTTAAAAAAATTTTGCTAGCAGTAGACA